TAGGAACTTCTCAGATCTGCAAGTAGGAGCATTCAGAGCCTGAGAGCAGAAACCCCTGAGATCAGCCCAGCGGGACCCAGGATCAGCTCCAAGGCAGGGCCTCTCTCCAAGTCCCCTCCCCCCCCCAGATTGAATTGTTATCAGCACCTGTTTGCTGTACATAATGATTACATTCTGGGTGGGGAGTTGGGACACATGTGTGCAACTCATCCTAATTCTTTTTTCCCCCCCTTTCCTTCCCCTGCGTACCCCCTATGCCTGGTAGAGTTATCTCCCTACTTCCTGTTATGCAGCTTTTACTTTTCTCTTTATTTATATTTTGCACTTCTCATGTGTGTGATTTATTTCACTGAACATTATGACTGCAAGCTGCATCCATTGGCTTATAAATGGCTCCAGTCTATCCTTCAAGGCAGAACAGTCCTCTGTTGGGTATAAATCCCACATTTACCTTGTCCATTCATCTGCTGATGGGCTGCGTGCTGCTTCCTAGACCCAGCAATTTTACATCATGATGCTGTAAACATGGGGGTGCATGCATCCCTGTAACACGATGATTTCAAGTGTTTGGGGAAGACCTCTAGCAAGGGGCTGGCTGGGTCAAACGGAATTCCTACTCGCAGCTTTTTGAGGAAATCACCACACTGATTTCCCTCGTGGTTGTACCAGTTCACACTCCCACCAATGGGGTAGTAGGGTTCCCTTTTCCCCACCTCCTCAACAGACTTTGTTACTAGATTTTTGCATGGGGGCCGGTCTTCCTGGGGTAAGATGGTTATCTCAGGGCGGTTTTAATTTGCATTTCCCTGATAGCTAGCATTAGTGAGCATTTTTTCAAGTACTCCTTAGCCATTTGGTTTCTTCTTCTGAGAAGTGTATTCATTTGGTTCCCCCGCACCGTTTCGATTGGGTCTTTTGTTTTAGGGTGCCTTTTTTTTTTTTTTTCAGATCTTTCTGTACTCTTGTGTTAGCCCTCTGTCTGAGGATATTTGATTTCTTGATGATGGACACTCTTTCTGGAGTAAGACGGAGCTCAGTGTTGGTCAACGAGCAGTGTTCAATATCTTTTGCTGTGCTTGTTGGCCATTCCTGCTTCTGCCCACTTCCGGTCTTGTGGCTCCTTTGACAGGTGAGGTGGGTCACCCAGGCCTGTCTTGCTCCAGGGACCGAGAGCTCACTATCTCGGAGATGGCCAAGTCATGAGAGAAAGAGCGCTGTGAGGGCCACAGACAGGGCCCGGGGCTCAGACTCGGCCCTGGGGAGACGCCAGGCCATGTCACCCAGGGCGACAACGTAGGCTGGGCGGCAGCTGGTGCTGAAGGCTCCGGGGCCGCCCACGGGACCACTGAATCGTTGAGAGCGAGGGCTCCGGATGCCGCCTGATGAGGCTGTCGCAGGGGAAATAAATCAGTTCTTGAAGTCGCGTTGCCCCCTCCCCGCAGCGACAGCACCCCAACCCCGAGCCCTGAGCATTGGCCCTTCCGCAGCGCCACCGTGTGGGCGAGGCGAGTCACGACAGCAGGGACTAGGGTCGCAATTATATATATATATATGTATATATAATATTTCCAAAACAGAAATATGAACCGTACTGTATACTTAAAAAGTACCAATAAACTCAATAATGACAAAAAAGAAATATGAAACAGAAACGTGCCATCCAATGCCTGTAATCCCAGGAGTCTGGGAGGCTGAGGCAGGAGGATTGAAAAGTTCAAGCCCAACCTGGACAATTGAGTGACCTAGTGACACCCTGTCTCAAAATTTAAAAAAATTAAAAAGGGCCTGGAGATATATCTGACAAAGGCCCTGGGTTCAATCCTGAGAACCACACACACAGAGGAAATGAAATGTATTTTTATATAACATATATATCCAATGAACATTCTTTAGTCTCTACTCCACAGTTAATAGAAACAAATTTAGCCAGGGATTTAGCTCAGCGGTTCGGTGGCCTGCCTTGCAAGCGCAAGGACCCGAGTTCAATCCCCGGTACCAAAAAAAAAAAAAAAAGAAACAAATTTAAACGGCAAAGCAAACCGCAAAGCATTAGGCACATATAATGAGATCATATTTTTTTTCTGTAGAGAAACATACGAAGCCTACTCACGAAAATGTCAGTGGGTGATTTGCAATTATTAATTATACATACTTAATGAAAAATATGCAAATTTCATGGACTGTATAAAAGGCAGGAATGGACAATTTTTGTCCCCAGGACAAACCCTGATTGCATTTTGGCAAATAGACTTCGGGTGTTAACTGGAGCAGAGACCAAAGAACATTTATTGGATATATATAAGGCACCCAAAACAGGCTGAAGTGGACACGGTGTGCCTATCTCCCAATTTAAGAGCATTTTTATTACTTTGAAGTTTCTTTTATGCTGTACTTTTCAAAAATAAGTGTAAATGTCACATTTTTTATTTCTCTTTCCTTTCTTCCCTTACTCTGGGGTTGATTTAATATTTTTACTAATGCATGTCACCCTTTTACTAATTTGTTTTCCTTTATTTTAGTGATTACTCTAAATGTGATAACATACACCCTTGACTTATTAAAGCCTGAGAAAAGTTAATATTCTCATCACTGTGAAAATGCAGGAACCTTGGGCCACTTAAAACCCCATTTACCCCCTCCTGGTTTATACATGATTGTCATCTGGTGCCATCTGCTACTTGAAGTCTTGGTATATTTCAAACTCCACAAGACAGTATTATTATTGTTTGATACAGACAATATTTGTTTGGATTAACCAAATATGTTTTTCTTCCTTGGCCTTCATTTCTTCCCATGTCTCCAAGTTCCCATCCGGGAATCCTGCAAATCACCCTTTACTAATTCCTTTGGTGAGGGTGTGCTTGCTGGTGATGGAATCTTTCCGTTTTTCTTGTGCAAAGTATCTTTGTTTCTTCTCTTTCTTTCTTTTGAGAGAGTGTTGCTATTACCCAGGCGGGGACAACGGGGGTCATACCCCACACTCGGAGAGCATTTTTTTGCTGGATAGTATATTCCAGGTTAGTGACACAGGCAAGAAAGGAGAGAGAGGTAAAAGATAAGAGAGATACACAGAACACAAACAGTAAGATGGGCTAAGCCAAATATATCAGCACCTATATTACATGTAGAAAGGTTAAATACCTCAGTTGAAAGACAAACATGACATTGGACTAAAAAAAAATACATAGGCTGCTTAGGAGAGAAAAAAAGTCAATTATAAAGATAAAAAGGAGGAAAGTAAAAGGATAGAAAACATTATATCAAGCAAACACTAACTGGAAGTCGTGGGTGTAGCTACGTTATTATCAGCAAAGGCAGAATTTAAGCGGGGGGCGTAAAATGGAGGCTAAAACAAAATTTCAGCCATGCAAGAGGTAAACAAAGCTATTCACAATGGGACACATTTTTTATTTATCAAGCAGATACCATTCTAAGTTTGCACACAGCTAATAATAATATAGTCCCAAATGGAGAAAGTAAAAATCAACGGAACTAAAAGAAAAAAATAGTTAAAATACAAACTTCTTCTTTCAGTAATTGGCAGGACAAGCAGATAAAAGAATTATCAAAAAATAACAGGCCGGGGATTTAGCTCAGTGGTTCTGCCACCTGCCTCAAAAGCACAAGGTCCTGAGTTTGATCCCTGGCACTAAAAAAAAAAAAAAATTCTCACAAAAAAAATTCTCTGAGGGGACATAGTAGAAGTGGGCTGCATTCCTTTTATTGTGTTCTGTCAGATGGCCCAGGACTTTTATTTGTCTCATTGATCACTTAATTAAAATGGTGACTGCTAGGTCTTCTCTACTACAAAATTACTCTTTCTCCATTAATAACTAATAAGTATTTTGTGAAGGAGACTCTTTACAATTTTAAATAGGCAATTCTATCACTCTTGCACTTTATTGATCATGTCAACACGTGCTCCTGGATTCTTGTTTATTTAGTGGGTTACATTTTTATTTTCTTTTATTTTTTCTGGTACTGGGAACTGAACTCAGGACCTTGCGCTTGCCAGGTGGGCGCCGTACCACCGGTGAGCTAAATCCCCGGCCCTTCTACTTAGTGTGTTATAATTTGTTATTAGCCTTATTATTTATTTTTCTGACTGTGCCTGGGATCGGCCCCAAGGCCTTGCAGCCAGAGTAAGCAAGTGCTCTACCACTCAGCTACAGACACCCAGGCCTACAGGGCCTGTTCTGATGATCTCGCTGTTCCAGATGTGGCCTGTGTGAGCTCCTTTTGACCTGTCTCCTCCTTGCGCACGATCTCACTTCCGGGCCATGTCTTTCGGGACCTCTTGCACTGTTCCAGATCTGGAATCAGCCATTTCTGGTGGGCCTTGGTTCTCTTCATTAGAGAATGATATTTAGAGACCATCTTGGGCAAGAGGGGAGTTCACTGCTGTTGGAGTTCTCTGAGGTCCTCTAAGTGGACAGGGCCACTTGTATGTTTTTTATATCTGCGTATCGACAGGTACATTTCTAGACTCACATTTACATCTACATTTATTTCATAAATTTATAGCTATTGAAAACCATGAGCTCTAATTTCTAGAGAATGTCACAGAGTCCATTCCAGTTTTCTCCCTTTCCATATTTGAAATGCCCACCTCCAACAGTGAGAATCCGAGCTTCTATTATTTCTTAATATCTTCACCTCTTGTGCATGTGATCAATTCATATATGACTATGTGGCTACCCCCTGATGCATAGCAAATTACTCCAAAATTCTGTGGCTTAAAACAGCAGTAATGGGGCTGGGGATGTAGCTCAGTGGTGCTGGGCCTGCCTTGCAAGCGCAAGGTCCTGAGTTTGATCCCTGGTGCTGCAAAACAAACAAACTAACCAGCAGAAATGATTTATTATCTTCCAGTTTCTGCAGGTCAGGAATTCGGGAGCAGCTCAGCTGGGGTTCTGGCTTGGGCTCTGTCATTTCTGATGAAAGAGTAGGGTTTGCAAGTCACACATCAGCAGGCTGTAAGCACTTAGGTGAAGCCTTACCTGGGGATGGACGGTTTGCTTCCAAGATGATGCGTTCATACCATAATCCCTTTTTGTAGAATGGATAGAACAACAGAAAAGAAATTAGTAAAAACTTCACCTTGGCGTAGGGAGTTGTCAGGAGAGCACGGTTTAACACCCGATGAACTTGTCCATAGGGCTGCTTGCGTATTATTATCACAACATGGCAGCTGGCTTCCTCAGAGAGAATACTCCAGGAGACAACAAGGTAGAAGTAACATGCTGTTATGAGCCAGTCTCAGCCACCACACAGTTATTCGGGAATATTCCATATTCTGTTGCTCACCCAGACAAATTCTAACACAATGTGGGAGGGAACTTCCAGAAAGCAAGGTTCACTGGGGGCCATCTTGGAGGGGACAGCACAATGACCAATCTTCTATGGCCACTGCCACACTGCCTTCAGGCACAGATTCCTTCCTCTCCCTGGTCAGGCTGGCACCCTGAGCCAGGCTACATCCCCCTCCAAGGGCACCCGCCTCATTCTGCTAGGGCCCTGACACCCCACAAGATTATTATTTAATGACTACGCTAGCCACAGTTGTGTCATTTCCTGTCCTATCAGAGACATTTCCCACAAGAGCTGAGAAGCAGAGGAGAGCGAAGACCGATTCTACCATAGCAACTGGGGATGCTGATGCTTCCCTGCTTTGCTGGCAAGGAATAAAGAAGGTGGGGAAATGCACAGAGCAGGTGCTCCTCCCACATGTACTCACTTGTCCTCCTACACCCTCCCTGATGGGCAGGGAACAAAGGTTGCCCACGGCTATTTTGTGGCCCAGCAGCCATTGCTACACCCCCGGAGTAAAGTTGGGGAGCATCCTGTGAGGGCCCCATTCTACCACCAGTCCCTGGCCCCAGGGAGGAAGCTTCTTGCCCAGCCACTGCCCAGTAGACAGGTGGGGAGGATGGAGGTCCCCAGATTACCTTGGGCAGTACACTCACCTTCAGGTAAGAGACAGAACTTGAGTCTGGACATGTCCGGGCACACACAGTACCTGGTGCGTGCATGGGTCCTAACATAGTGTGCAGTGGTGGGCCCTGGGGAGCAACAGGAATGCTGGCTGGTTTCTAACCCATAGCTATATGACCTGGGCAAGTCTCTCCATCTGCCTGGGCTCCCTCTTCTTTTGCCCAAGGAGCCAGGTAACCTCTAAAGGGCTAAGGCAGTGATGGCGAACCTTTCAGAGACTGAGAGCCCCAAGTGCAACCCCAAATCCACTTATTTAATGCAAAGTGCCAACACTGCCCCCATGTGTGCTGTTATCCAATGCTCAGCTATTGGGGCTGAGTCCTAACAGGGCTCTGCATGCCCACCCTGGCACGTGTGCCATAGGCCCACCACCATGGGTCTAAGGGCTCCTCAAATTGTGGGGTTTGGATGTTTCTTCCCACGCCTGGTTCTGAATTCTCAGACTCTCTCTCTCTCTCTCTCTCTTTCTCTGGACTCCAACCATCTTGGTCCCCCCAGTGTGGGAAGAGCCCACAAGCTTGTGGACACCCAAGGGGGCTTGATGTAGGCATTTACTTCTTTGTTCAGTCTGTCTCTGCTCAAGACTGAGCCCCTGGGCCTGGCTCTGGGTCCCCGGCCTCCTGTGGGGTGGGGGTGGGGCCGATGCTCAGGAGACTTGAAGGAAAGGGGTGGGGCCATGCCAGCTGCCATTTTGTAGACCCAGCCCTCCTCCCTGCACATACACTCTACATGGAAAGAGCTACAACTTAGAGCAGACCCGAGCGGATGTGCACCTCGCTCTAAGCCTTAGTTGCCTCCAAAGAGGCTATGTGTACCTGCTTCCCCAAGTGTTGGGGGACAGCACAGGGCCAAGGTGGAGAAGCCCAGGTGGGACATGGAGCAGATGGGTGGGCGTGGGCCCTGTGTGGACAGGTCTGGCCCCGGGGGTGGGCCCTCCACACCTTGGGGTGGTTGCTGGGGTGGGGAAGCCTCAGCCTGGACCTGAAGGAGCTTTGGAAGCTGTCCTTGTGGTCTCTGGGGAGGACGGCAGGGGGTTGCCATGGAAACCATCCCACAACACTGCACTCCAGTGGAGCTCATAGAAGTTCTCTGAATAAGAATCTCATCTTTTAGGCCCCTGCTTCCTCTTCACACTTCCAAGGGGATGTGCGGATCTGTTGGTGTCTGTGTGGCCCCTCTCATGGCCCCACCCCCTCACCTCAGTGGCCTTGCTCCCTTCTCCGCCTCTGCGGAACACCCGGCCCCTCCCCACTTCCCCCTGCCTCTTCTGTAGAAGGATTTCGGGCACACAGTGTTTTCCCTGCTCTACTAAAAACAAAAACCCACCAACCCGAAACATCTTCAGAGCTGGCAGGCCCCTTCAAGATAAGGCCCAGAACTGGCAGTGTGGACACGGCCTGGGAGTGTGCTAGAAATGCAGCATCCCAGGCCCCACTCAGACCCCCTGAAGCCAAATCTGCCTTTTAAAAAGGTTCCCAGGTGACTCACACGCCAAGTCAAAAGTGGAGATGCTCTGCTCTTGTGGGCCCCACCTCCCATTTTATAGACAAGGAAACTGAGGCCTACAGTGGTGAGGGGACTTTCAAGGCCGTCCCAGGGCCCGGATTCCAAGACAGGTGGCCTCCTCTGAGATCCCTGCTCCTGTCCTCTCCCAGCTCAGCCCACCCTGTGGCTTTACTGTAACCTTTCTGGCTGCCCAGCTCTGGCTTTCAAACCCTTCCCCAGCCTCGGAGGACTTTGCGAGGTTCTTGCTCGCCCCCTGGTGGGAGCAGGGGGATATGGCCTAGCCTGACTCAGGCCGAGAAGACTGCTCCCTGCTCACCCTTGAAGGAATGGGGTAGGGGCAGAGAACAGCAGGGAACAAGGAAGTCACAGGAGAAGAACAGAGGGTAGGGCAGAGAGGGAGCAAGCTGGGGTTCAGAGTCCTTGCTTTGAAAATGTTTGCGTGAGTTCATCCTGGTCCCACCCATTCGCAGGTGAGATCTAGAGCCTCTGATCACCTCTCCGTCTCCATTTCCTCACCCCCAAGATGCAGAGAGTCGAGGTGATGTCCCTGCTTGTGGCCATGTAAGGATTGTAGGACGATGCTGGGAAACTCTTTGCACAAAGGCGAGAGGCGCAGGTGGTGCCTTGGCCCAGGGTTCTGCACAGCCCACTGCAGGAAGGCTCTTAGCGACCCTGCCCTCTGCCTGGTGGTGGTCGAGGAAGAAGGGGTACCCTGTCACCCATGCCCGGGACCCCAAAGGCTGGATTTCAGAGAGGGGTGACTTCTCAGAGCAGCAGTCAAGATAACCAAGTGGTCTGGATTCAGATGGTCCAGGTTCACGTGGGGGACTCAGTTTCCTCATCTGTGAACGACCTTCCAGGTCTGTCACGAGCCCATGACATTACTATTAAGCACCCAGCACCACACAGGCCCTGTGGTCCCTGCATGGTCCAGTGGAGGCCAGGGGCTGGGGAGAGAGAGTTGGTCAAGGGGAGAAACCCAGCCATACCCAAGCAACACAGAGAGGTGGACCCAGAGGGTGTCGTGGTGTAGGTTAAAGGACCAATCACCCAGCTGGAGCACAGCCTCAAGCTGAGCAAATGTGCCCTGGGGTGCATTTGCTTTAAAAGCCTGAGGTCCACCCCCTCACCACAAACACACACATGAAGCCTGCTGTGTGATGGCCAGGTTGACCCAGACCAGCAGCTGGCCTTCAACCTCCCCAGGTGACTTCTTAACCCAAAGCCATTCTTCTGGCTACGTCACCCACAGCCCCTTCAAAGGGACCTCTCCCCCCATGACCCCGGACCCTTTGCCAACGCTGAGCCCCTCCCCAGGAACTCCCCTGCAGGTCTGTCTGGGATCTGAGCACTGGGTTTGCAGCGCTGAGCTGGACCAAACCGATTTCTCTTGTGGAACTGGGGAGTAAAGAGGAGAGGGCTCTGGCCTCAGGGAACAGGACCAAAGGTTCCACCTTGTCCAGAACTTGCCTGAGGTTATCACCAAAATGTCCTGCATTCCAGGAACTGTTGTAGCAGATGCTAAGGGAATATGAGCGAGTTGTGACTACTGATCACAGCTATGGTGTACCACTTTACAGAAGTGTTACATGATGTGGCAGCCTTCATAAGCAAACAGAAAGATGTGGGAAGAAAAGTCCACCCCAGCGTCTTTTTGCTGTGTGTGATAAAGAGCAAGGCTGAGTAAAATGAACCAGAGTATCTCCGCCAGGCCTGACCGCCCAGCTCCTCTCGACCTCCCTGCAGCTTCTGAGAGGAGGACGCTCCCTTCCCCCGGGGACCTGGAGGCCACCTCTCCCGTGAGGGCCTTTGACCTGCTCCAGAGGAAGGACAGAAAGTGCTCCCTGTACGCACCCCTACTCACACTCCTCCAACCTAAAGCAGTCACTCTGTCGAGGGCAGCACGTCATGAACCCGTCCGCATGCGGTGTGTTCTGTTCATCTGCTCAGCTCGGGTCACCGCTGTGTTTTGGCTGTCATTACTAACGCCGCTCTTAACACGGGTGCACCGTCGTCTATGATACTGGTATTGAATGCTTTGAGAATATACCTGGGGTGGAATTGCCGGGTCCTGGGGTGATTGGGTGTTGAACTTTTTGCGAGGCTGTCAAAGTGCTTTCCATCTCGGCTTGTGCTAAGTATTCTCTGTATCTTAGTTCATGAAGCTGAGGGCGCCACCCAGTAGGCTGGCCTTGCTTCAAAGGGGGAAGACAGTGAGATTCAGCAGATAAAGTATCCCGTGTCCATCAGCTAATAAGTGCAGAGCCAGGATTCAAATCCACATGGCCTAACTCCATGGCCTCCTGCCACCTGCCCCCCCAGTGGTGGCCTGGGTGTCTGTGTCTGCAGATCAATCGTGTGAGGGGACAGGAACTAGGAGATAAAGTCAAGGAGTTTCTAAAGGAAGGTCTGGGGAGACACAGGAGAGGCAGAGAGCCCCTGTTGTGGCTTGTGTCTAGACCTCCCCCAAAGCCTCATGCAGCTACTTCAGAAGTGGCTGAATCTGGAATGTGTGATGCTGGGATTAGGGGTGTGTGGTTACTAAACCTCTACACACCAGTGATTGGTTTGGCATGGCCCTAATCCCAGCAGTCTGGATGGGATAAAGGGGGCAGAAAGATGCTGTTAAGGTCTTGTGTTGCTTTGCTACCTTCAGGCTGCCATGAACTGTTGCCTCTCTGCCACCCTGCCTTGGAGCCAGCCGATTATGCATTGAAACCTCTACGAACTGTAAGCTGAATAAACCTTTCAGCTTTGGGTGTTGGGTATTATGTCTCAGCAACAAGAGAAAAGTAGCTAACACAGTCCCATAGCTCTACAGGGACGTTCAGCTCCCAGTCAGCTCCCAGGCTTGGGACCCTGGGAGGTCAACAGCAATGGGCTACCTAGATGGAGAATACATCTTTCTTGTCTCTGCCTAGCATCCTCTCTTCTGGCCAGATCCTTATTTCCTTTACAGAATTCAGTTCAGATGATTGGGCTGCCCGGAAGTGGGCTGACTCAGATCTAGACAATCAATGTCATTTTTTACTCTGGGCCATGGTGATTGGTTCAGAAAGGGCATGTGAGCTAAACTGACCAATGAGACGTGACCTTCCCTGGGACCTCAATAAGAACGGATGGGAAGAGAGAACGTGCTGCCTGGCTGGCAGAGCAGGTGGAGTTGAGCCAGGGGTGCTGACATCAGGTTTGTTCCCTCAGGGGAGCTTGCTTGAGAACCTGTGGTGTTCAGTCCTACACTTCTTTCTCGTGAGCTCATCTTCAACCAGCCCCAAACAGAGGGAGCCTCAGGGTAGCATGGAAGGGAGCCAGTATTATAATAGACAGATGAACTAGGTAGAAATAGTATAGGCAGTCAGATAGGGCTCGGTCCTCGAGAGGGTCAGGACAGAGGTGAAACACCACAGCTGTGGCCCGAGAAATACCAGTTGGAAACCAGACCTCAAGATAACGACAAAAGACCAGACCTGCATACTTCCTCAGGAAAAAACACTGGGCCTCATGAAGACTATACAGACATCAGCCACCCCAGTGGATGATCTCTGGACGCACCACCTCCTAGGAGAATCTTTTTCTTTCTATCCATGCTTACTACATGACTTGTTCCCCAATGTGACTGTACTTGTAACCTTATTGGGTGTTCATGGCTGTGGCCCATGTTGTACTCAATGCGGGTCTCACTGTATAAAACTCCTCTGTAAAGTGGGGTTTCCTGGTTACCCACTCAGGTCCCCTCCTGCCCCTTAGGAGCTTTTCTATCAATAAATATCTTCCTACTCTTAACCTCTGCTGTTTCTAGAATTCATTCTTTGATTTTTTAGAGAACAAGAGCTCGGTGTGTCACACAGCTAACAGGTTGGGAGATACACTAGTTCACATTTCATCTCTGGTATTGTTGCCTGTATCTCCAGGACCCTAGGCACTGACTCAGTGCTTGTAGAGCCTGGAGGCTGGCACAGTGTGTCGGGGGGTGGCCACCCAGGCAAAGCCCTGGAGGGACTAGAAGTATGGGGGGAGAGACAAGAGTGCACAAGCCCAGCATGCGCACAGACCCCTGTAAACCACATCCTATGGAGGGGAACCAACCCTCCTGGCAGTCTAAGCATCTCAGGGCCCAGCTAGGCCATCAGGGAGCAGCCCTGAGGCTCACAGGGTCTGGACCCCATGGGAAATCCTGGATCACATGGTGCCTCTTGCCTCATGAGAGGCTGTCACTGGGGCCATCACCCATCTCTTCCCACTCTGTCTTTGTCCCCTGCCACTGGCCATCCACCCCAGGAGCATCTAATTCCTATCTCAGTACCAAAGTCCCATTTCTCCCAATCAATTGGTTTGTCTTCCTTCATAAACTTTGGAGATTATGTAAGTGGCTGTGTTTTCCCTTTTGTGTCATCTTCGAGGAAGCTTAGAGCAATGTGTGGCCCTCCATAGCTAGAGTACAGCGATGAGGGAAGCTGGGCAACTCATGAGTATCAAAGGAGCTTCATGTCACAGAT